TTTTTTTGTATTTAATGACCGGAACTATTGAAAATTGTTGCAAAGAGCTCTAGAACTTTTCAAGAGAGTATCAGAACTCTAAAAAAAATGTCACATTTTTAAATATGGTGTGCCAAGTTCACACAAGTAAATTTTTGAGATCGAGCAACACGTATGAAGTAAAAGTGCCAATACCTAGGACACTAATAACACTAATACGTTACTCTGGACATTCTTATTGTTTTGGTCTTTAAATTCGAATATTTAAACTTTCAATATACACTGAGAGTGAAAAATACTTTATCTAATTAAAATTACATTTATTTTTAGTCTCAATTATATTTTTTGGTTGTCCTAACACAAAAGTTGTAATATTAGTACACATATAAGATTATTAATATTATAGTAGAATTTAATAAAAAAAGTTGGTTTTCTTGACGATAATTTATAGTAATTATTTTTCTATATGATTATAGTTAGAAATATTAAACATTTCTCCTGTATAGAATATATACACATTAAATATATACGTTATTTTACATTGAATTAAATATTCCTATTTAATAAAAAGGAATATCCAGAGTTACCAGGCTTATTACTGTCCAGACACTGGTACCTTACTCTTTTTCGCAGTTGTCGAAGCGTATCGAACGTTGAGTTTTATCTGCCAGTTTCGGTGCATTGAACTGTTATCGAACTTTACACCGGATCCGATGGATTCTCGTTTCAAAGGGGTTGAAGAGACAACGAAGGACCTAGCTCAGAGCGGAACGGATGAAATTCCTCGGGAAGCTCGCGTTCGCGACCGACGATGAGAGCGGCATCTCTTCCTCGTACTTCCTCGTGCTTTTTCGTGCTTCCTCCGCGTGATTAAATGTGCACACGTTTGGCTCGTGCCTGCTACTCACCAAATAGAAAATAAACCCAACCACTTGTCCGCGCCCGTGTCGTAGTTGCTGTTGTTGGACGGCGGAGGTACGGGCGGTTCGGTACTCGCAGTCCTGAAGACGTTACTGTTATTGTGCGCAATAGCGTTCATAGTGGTCTTCAATATTCTTTTCGACATCGTCGTGCCGTCTCTCAACCCTTCCGATTTCAAATCCTTTTCCATCTCGATCATTGACTGTCGCCCGCGATATTCACGCAAATAACGAATCGACGAAACACGCGAACGTCGTTATCGTCGTCGTGGAGATAATTGTTTTATCACCCGCCTCTCGCTATCCTTCTGTTCCGAATTGCCTCCCTCGCAGATGGTAATGATGGTAGTTTCTCTCTTGATTGTTTAAACGATATTCGGACGGGTATCACCGAGATCGACGATAACGCCGCATCCTAATGCGAAAATCCTCGAATAGGAAGGTTTAAAGATCGAAACAATCCAATTGTCCAAACTTTGGACTTTCAGATATCGATGATACTGTCTCGAAGAGTCTATTTCTGTTTCATGAGACGCCTCGGGAAAGCTCGTTCGGAAAAGCTCGTTTCTCGCTCGATCGATTTCGCGTTCCTCGCAGTCGAAAGTCTCAAGAACCTCAGACCTGCAACATCGTTGCCATTGTTTGAGCCGGTTCTCTCTGTAAAATGTATATAAGTGAGAAGTAACTGCGGGAAAGAAGGTGGCTGTGCAAATTCCGGAGGCGCGCGCGCGCACAATTCGCGTCGATTCGCCAAAGCCGTAACGCGTTGTTTAAAACTCGCCAGCTCCTGCCGTAAAACACCATCGTAAGGTCGGCAAATGCGTTGGTCGTCTTTCTACCCTGGGACCGCGCAGCGCGGTGCAGCACGTCCACGAACTTTACGTATTTTTACATATTTGAGTGAGAAAGAGAAAGGGGGGGAGCGGTTGGTATATATACTACGAATGGCTGGAAAACTTGCAGCCGCGCCGGCTCTATTCCACTTTGCCTTGCTTCGCGACGAGTTCCTTTCTTTTTTCTCTTCTCTTTCCTTTTTTCTTCGCATTCACCTGGCTGCTTCGTTCCTGGTGGTGTTCGCATTTCCGCTACGAACGCATTAATGAAGTTACTACCGGATGCGGTTGCAAGTACGGGATGAAATGAAGTCCCACGGGCAAATTTTTTTTCGCTTATCCACACTTGTCCGCGGTTGCCGTAATATTTGTATTATTAGAGTAATCACGGTTTTCGAAAATAGATAGAAATAGGTGACGGAATAGACAGGAAATTGATACCCCAAGAAGACGGTGAAAAGAGGAAATCCTCTGAATAATAGAAGACGAGAGAATCATAACCGGATGGAACACGTGGACTCGTATCGCGAGATGCACGAAATCACATCTGCTTATCGCTTCGTTTCATGTTTTTGAGCTTCCTTATCGAACGTTCCTTTAATCGTCAAGCGTTGTTCCTTCTCGACCACGAGCGCGAGCGAGTACAGAAGTGCCGGGAGTGTTGTGGAATCGCGATAACGAGAACGCGGGTGCGCGTATTAGAGAATCAAGACTAGAAATCATGCACGCAAAAGCCGCAGCGACAATAATAATGAGTGCTGCTGCAATTGCCTAGCCACGAGCACGATCTAATAATAAGTACGCGCTGTGTAATGTAAGAAAAAAAAAAAAACAAAAAGTGTTTAATTTAGTTTGATCTAACTGAGAAATTATGAACGAAGCGGCCATGGTTTGAAAGGCGGAAATGGAGAAGGAATTAGCACGGGCAAGGAATTGAAATGCATTAATTACAGCATACGAAAATTCATGAGTATTCATCAGCAACGCTAGAACATCAAGCGGTCATACTCGACTCGTTTTTATTTTTTAAATTAATATCATGTTTCTCGTGTAAAAAACAGAATTTTTCAGATTTTCGGATTTTTCTCTCCTTTATTTCGATGGAACATTCAGTTCAATTCTATCTTTTGCACGAAAAATAGGATATTAATTTAAAAATAAAAACGGCCAAAAGTGGCCGATCGATATTTCTTGAGAGGTTTATTCATCAGATATGTATTTTAAGGCCGGCTAGGCTAAAAGGGGATGTATTTTCAATAACGTATCAAAGCAGCTACTTATAAATTCACTATTTGTCGAATAAAAACATGTTTTTATTTCACTATCTAAACCATAAGTGTTAATTTAAAACTAATTCTATAATACCGTTTTGACATACTTCACTCAGTACAATGCTATTCAGAACATAAAACAGCTGTTTTCCTGGTCTACAATCGACCATTCCATAAAAACGCACTAAATACTATTCTTTCTTTTATGCCGCATCTTCTAACATATAACATTTATAACGATAAGTTTCCTATTTGGATGATATTACTTTTTACAAAATTACACTGAAATAATAGTCAATCTATATCGCTTCTATACGTGCAAAAAATTGCGATATCCAATATTAAATTTCTCGTGAACGGTGCAGACAAATTGCACGAAATTTTAACTACGAATGTATTTACTGCGATGTTACGTTAAATCTTTGTATAATTTTGAGCATTTTTTTGACGTGAAATAAATAAACTCTTTAAATGAGACGTTGCGCGATGCTCACTCGCTCGGCGAACAATTTCGATCGCTAGACGTCGCTTACGTTATCCATCAGCCATCGCTGATTACGGATGATCGGTTCGGCGGGGAAGCGGCCAATTCATTTCGACGATAATTCGTTTCAGCCGATCAGTCGATAATGAGCGCGAGCCACGTACCGCTGCACGATGATGACATCGCGCGTCGTTTCATGTGACAGACCGTGATCGATAACGTTAAACCGTTAAACTTGCGCCTTCGTGGCCGTCGTGGTACGCGGATAAAACGACATAATCGTGAAGTTTCATTTTGCCGGCTCGTGCTGAGTTTTAAACGATTGTTGGTCGAGTGTCTAACCCCTACACGCTATATATATCCCTCTCAGATCGATGACGCCGCGTCATATCTGAGCAACGAGATTGCCATTTATTCGAAACTTCGCCATTTGATACTGTTTACAATTGAGTGAATGTATGTCGCCTGTTGCAGATTCGCGCAAATGAAGGATGTTAGGTGAGGAAGTTCGCGAGACCGGCTGAATTGCGGGTAAGTTCACCATGCAAACTTGTATGAACGAACATAGCTTACAAGGCGATTTATATTAGCTGCGCGACGCACAATAAACGTCGAGTATACGATAACGGCGCCCGGTATTACACGACAACGCCTCATACTTTAGCGATTTAATTAATGCGCGCAGTTCATTAGCCAACCTTCTTCGAAGAAAGTATTCGCGCTGGAACTTAAAAGAACGCCAAAATCTGAATAAGCAATTCACTGGTTGTTCTAACAATTATGAATTATTAATGAAAGTATCGAGATCCAATCTCTTACACTCAAAAATGTTTCGTTAGTTTATATAGAATTCTAAATGTCACTGTTAAAATTTATCGCTGATTTCTGTTAGAAAATTACCTGTGATACGTGAAATTTATAGCAGTAACATTCTAGCAATATCTGCAGGCAAATCTAGGTCCCGTTACTGATTATTAATCGTGCATTAATCTGGATGAGTACTACAGAGAGACTTTCTTGTTAAATTTTGCAAATAGTTCAGATATAAATTCTGCCTCCGTCACCTATTTTCCTCTGTCACCTATTGTCTAAATACAAGATGTATGCGATAGTGCTTGCTAGTCATTTATCCATCTCTAACTACTAAGTCCATCTCTAAACTAATTTCTCATATCTAGACAATTTCCGCTATAACTCTAAGACGATTCTTTTGAGCGCGAGGACGGTGATTTTGAACGGCCTGGGGGGAAGCCTTTGACTGATCGATATCACGTAAAAAAGAGAACATTCAATGACTGGCATCACGACTGATAATGGCCGAGCATTGTCCATAAGCGACCTAATCAACCATTACGACGGTCAATCTTCTGCCCTATTCAGATCTAGAAATGACCAGTCGCACGTTTTAGAAGCTAATCGACCACCCGTGTACCCATACACACCCCGCTTGATTATCTCAGGAGGTAACGGCGCCACGCGATACTCCAGCCGTTATTAACTCTATATAGGTCTCCTACATACAACCGTGTCAGCATTTTTCATTTCAACGTGCCGTTAGCGCACCGACGTGAAAACATGTTACGTATTTCCGTATCACTGCTCTCACACACGCTATACGTTTTCCGGAATTAACGTTTTTAATTCACGGGTCCGCCATGAGTAGGCGTTCCACTTCAGTGAATATTTGATCTTCGCGTGATTTTTGTATTTTTATGTTCGATACTCGCGATATCGTTGTAATTGAGTTTCCGGCAAATAACAGCCTGTTTGAAATTAAAGTAACGGTGAGATAGCAATCCGTTTGAAATTATTCCGATAAACAAGATTCGCGCGCATCTCCGTAGATGCGTCTCCTCAAGGCTTGCAAACCGAATTTGTCATTTTCAACCACCCACGAACATTACTCTCAAACTCAAGCGACCGCTATTCTTATCTGCGACGGCGATTGAATAATTCAACGGTGGATAACTCGGGGATCCTACGTAATTACAAGAGCCATTTAAAGCTAATGCAATTCGACCGATTCTTCTTTACTTTCCGCCTCAAATTTTCATGCAATACGTTACGACGCTTCCTAATCGACGACCTTGACTCACATCGACTATACTCGAGTTGGGCGGCATAGATGTTCTCACGGCATAGTTACATTATGTGCTAGTAGTGTGTAGTGTATTGTGTGTGTATCTGCCGATAAAGTGGATATTTTCGGGGCAATATAGCGTTCAGAAATGATTCGAGGTCGCCGAAATGTCTCGACACGATCGAACGTGATCGAACGTATAGTCCGCCAAAAAACACGAATAATTTCCTCTCAATTCCCTGAAATCGATCTGCACTTGATTGCACTCTTCCACTCGAGTCAATATAAATCCTCTTCTAGATGCAGCCGTGTCGCGGTGCGTGAGTGTTATTAAACTGCGGAAGCGACGATAAATAACGTTCGGAAATCACGTATTACGTAAAGATCGCGCATAAGATTGCGCACCGTCAATTTACGTCGCACATCGTCGTCAATCTCGCGGCGAGCGAGTGTGAAATACTAAGGTTACCGAGAGTTTGTCGAGGAACATCGAGACATAAACGCCGCGAACTCGTATTAATCGTGGCGCGTTCGTAACGCATCCGCGCGCCTCCATGATCCACTTCTCTTCGGCTTGAGTCGCGCTTGCATTCCTCGCGTCTGCATTCTTGTTACATTCGCGAGATACGGCAAGGTGCATCTCGCGAATTGACTTCGCGTCTCGATGTCGAAATAACTCGCAATTCGAATATCTCAGAGCGCAACTATGTGGCGAAATTCGCGATTTCCGTTCGCGCAGTTTCTCACCTGGCCCGCAAAGTTCCTGCGGCTATTTTCCCTCTTTTTTTCACCGTCGTAAACCCGGGACAGTCGTCTCTTCCGTGCTGCTTAATGACGCGACCGTTTCGAACGACACCGGAGAAGAGTTTTTAACGGAATCACGTTCCGACACAGCTGCGACACGACACTCGTTACCGTTGCACGTCACGAGCCCCGCAGGAGAGGTTCCTATCATACGTCAGCTGAAATCGGATTTTTCTCAACTGCGCGTAACTCGAGCGAGGCGTCGATCGGTCGTCAGCGCGATTCGAAGCCGTAAGAATTCGCGGGGCGCAACAACACTCGCGAAAATCTCACCGGGTCGATTGACGCGCGTAATTCGCGAGGGAGTTCGCGTCTCGTTCCCGCTTCGCGTGTCCCGGTATTTTCCCTTACCGGAACGGTAACGCACCGATGACAGTAACAACCGTGACGAAGCGGCGGAGTCCCGTTCTAAATTGAGTATCATATCTTACGGACGGCTTCTCCTTGATCATGACCCAGCGACGTTTAACATTAACTGAACTAGAGTCGCGCAACGGTATGTAAGCCCCCGGTCTGTACGATTGCAACTTTTCCGAAGGCCGAGATTACTCAGTGAAGTGAATCACTGCCGCGCCGCGACGACATCGCGCAAACGTTCCCGGAGCGGCGGAAGTTCCTTTTCTCGATCGCGGTCGTGTCGCGTTTTCGACTCCGAAATCGCCCTGTCCGCTCCGCGATATCCGCGCTGTCGCGCAATTATTCGACTAGTTCGCGTTCATCTCGCGTGCTCGCGACGTCGGCGTCGTGGCGCGTCGGCCGCTGCTTACGGCCTATCGCATACTTTCACGGCACGCTGTACACCTACCGGGATCGATTCGGCTAAAATATCTAGAGCACGCCAGTATTGCGTACTAACGTCGGCGTTTTAACTTCACGTCGACTGAATTCGTCTCATTTGTACTACAGTCAAGATAATAATATCTAAGAGCGACAGGGGAGATGGGGAGGGTTCATTAAAATTAATTGATCCTCTCGCCGGACGACGGATACTGTTCTCGGTGCCGTGATATTTTTACTTAATTGCGTAATTATTTCAGCTAGGTCTGAAGATTAATTCTCGGACCTCGTTCAATTTCATTCGAGAAATTTTGCTTTGATTTTTTCTTTTATTCATCTATCAATCCTGAATTACTCAACTTGACAAGTAACGTGGCGAAACATCGTGAGTAGCGATAATAAAAATAAATAAGACAAAGATAAAATAATGAACAAAATGCGAAAAATACTCGCGACATAAGTGCTTCTTAATTAGTGCTTTAATTAATATAACATTAGAAACAATCCAACGATGCGGTTGGATGTGAAGAGATTAGCATCCGAATAGCGGATCCGCGATAGAAAGAAATCAATTGCAAAATTCTTCTTCTCGTGCGATTCGATGCAATATACGTATATTTTTTTACAAGTCCTGCGAAAAAGAGATTCTGTCCGGAAGGAGATTGAGAGCAGCGAAGCTGTCGTCGCAGTCGCAACTATCGGTTTTGCGCGAGAGGTTGGAGCTCTCGGAATTGTCTTCTCGTCTTAAGGAGTTCTGTTAATTCGCGCGATTTTATGGTAATTAGACTTGGTCGAGAATGGCGCTCTCGTTTCGTCGCGAACGCGAAACGGCTCTGCGCACGTGCCCAACTGCAGCCCGTGCATAGGTAATTGGTCGCTACAGTTTTCTTTCCGAAACGCGCAAATCCCCGGAGAGAACCGTGACACAGACAGACAAGTGTACTCTTCTTACTCTTATGTCTTCTCTCGTGGCGGTGCGTTATCGCGGACGTTCCTTCACTGCACGCTCGAGGTTTCACCGAACGAACGAAACCGGTCTGCCTCAGTCGAACGGAACGAAGCTCTAGAAATTCCGAAAACCGTCGTGCTAATAAACTTCCCGGTCACGACGACGAGCCTGACGAGCTCGGAAAGCCGAGCGTGCTGCTAGATACACTGCGCATATCGACTAAAAGACGCATCGAAAGCATAAGTGTACGCCGTATGTATGGCCGTGATATTATGTACGACGTGGATGCCTTCTTCGTCGAGTGTGGGTGGGTTGTGCTAAGGCTTGACCACGCGAAACCACGTCGCGTCTTTACCATTTTGTATCGAACGCGCCGCGCCTCGCCTCGCTTCGCCTGGTCACTCGTGATTCACCTAGTCAATCGGCTCGACCGAAGTCAATCATCGTGGGATTACGCCGCGGAAAATTCCCTCGTAAAGTCTGATAAACGTTGAGGCGACTCAATGGTGTCGTCTTCGCCGTAACCATGGCGAATACGATCAACACTGGAAGATAAAAGTCGAAGACCCGAAGGTTGACGCTAGAAAGTAAGAGGAGGCAAAATGAAGCCAATCGGCGGAACGATCAAAAAGAATCGCGATATTGGGTAATGATTCTTAATGAGACTTAACGCTCTTTTTACTTACGAGATTAGTGCTTTATGTCAGTTCTGCAGAATTCGGCCCATTATTGGGTCTACGAATAAGTGCGAGCCGAGAATAGCGCGCGTTTTCTCTGGAGCGACTTGTTATTGAGGCTATCGTTGACACGAGATTCTCGTTAAACTGATGAAGGTGACCGCTTAATTGAATTAATTTCGTAATGAAACACTGTTAGCATATAACGCGCGCGCGCGTAATCGTATTATATTCTATCTTGTATTATTCATCTAGTTGAAAAAGCCTCGCTTTTATAATAGCACTTTGATCTCCTATCCCGTGCGATGTTCACGACACGAAGTGTCATCGTCTGAAACTTACAATTATTATTGAAACAGCCGCTATAATTTAGTGCGATAATAACAATAGTGAAATGTTGCGATATCTTGCGCGATAGCTGAAATATGCAAATTACTTCCTGCCTGTCGTCCTCTCCATTCGCTAACAATGTTTTTTTTAGGTATTCGAAGCTATCAACAGGTGTTATCGTCAATCCAGAAGTCACGCCTTCTGTGGCCGCGTCATCGAGATCACATATAGAGGATTCGAACTGCTTTAAAATGTGGGAATAGAGATGTAAAAAGTCTTTTCTCCGTATTCTAATTCCTAATTACGAGTCTCGTTAATTAACGCCATAATTGATTAGCACCATAGAAATGGTGATCTTTTCACAGATTTTGAAATCTGTACTTAAAGCGACCATAATCATCGCGATTTCCGGACAATCGTGGATTTCTATCGACACCACTTTTGTTAAAATTTTGATCGATAGTTCGTGAAATAAAGATACGACCTTTTTTTATCAGAGATTCATCATATACTTGTCATCCCGTACATTTGATAATAAATTCATACACATTCGTACATCGCGTTTGTTACACTTGATATCTGCGATACGTCTACGAATTATTTATGATAAACTAATTTTATATAACGCAGATTTTTATATGGCAAATTTTTGAAGTACACACAGAAAAATATCAATTTGCTATTAAGAATTCAGTTTGTTTCCCTCTCTTTAAGTAATAATTCAGTATCAGCTTACAATATCAGCCTTTTTAAGCTTACATAGCCAAGAAAGGGATTTGGTATACAATTATATCCACATATCTATCCTTTTCTCTTATTTTTATCTAATTTTTCTAATCTAATATTTACCTAATCTAATATTTTGATCTACTAGCCTAATATTTACTAATATAATAATCTTAAAATATATGTCAAATTGTAGAAATATTTTTATTATCATATATTCTAAAGAAGAATTTATTTTCTTCACAAGTACATTATAAAACTTTATTGAAGAAAAAATTGGTTTGATTCAATGTAATAAGTAAACCGAATTCTTGCTTTAATTTAATATTCTTGATGGAAATGATAAACTTACTAGAGTTCAGAATGAACTTTGAATAAATGTGATTGTGATGAACTTATGATAGATTCGCGAATATATAAACTTATGAAATACTTGAAACAAGTAACACTTACTTGAGTGCAGTATGTATTTTCCTAAGTATGGATATTAGGGACACTGTAGTCGGTTCTAGCGCATGCGAGTTATTCTTCTAAACTAATTTCTTGATTCAGGATTCCGCTTGACATAGTGTGGTAGTTTGCGGTCGGAGCATGATCGATTTTTTCGGGTCATGCACTGTGCCATTTCGCCCGGCCGCCTTAGCTTGCTTCGTGCACGAGTGTCATTAGAAGCTGCCTAAATGCAAAACATATCGTGTATACACGTAGAAATGAAGAATAGCGGTGCACGAAAACGCCGCCGGCCGTCGATGGCCCGTTTTACCTTACAGCCGACGCGATCGCTCTCGCGCGCGATTACGTTGGGATAAATTAGCATGCGAGGCGAATGTATGCGATTTTCAGGTCGGACCGCGGAATCGAGACCCAATGCGCCTATTCGCGGAGCTAGGAAAATCCAAGGTGCCAAATGCCAAATACTGTCTGGCAACACGGTAATCAGAACACGGATGTTGGATCTAGAAGAGCGTTCCGAAAATCGCGTTGCACCTGTGTAGTGATTTCTAGATTTACCAGATCGTCTTCTCCTGCAGACATACATTGAAAAAATCACACGTGGAAAAAATAAGGGCATCAGTCATGAATCTTCTCACATAAACTCGATCTTACTTATTAATTATATAATTTTTTCCCTATTATGAAATCATGAAAAGTGAGTCATTTTGGAGATGATTATGAACCTTTTCTTGCGATATAAACTCGCGAAAATGAACATTTTCATATATTTTTAAGATTAGATTTTTCGCTTTTCACGAGTTCACACTAGAGGAAAAGATTGACGTGATTAACCCTCAGGAGACTGGTAAACCACCCGGGAGATGATGCTTGAAATCGATTGCTCTTTCGAAATAATTTTCCAACGTCATGTACCTGCTATTTTCTCCTCACCACTCAATATTTTATTTGTTCGTTTGTTTTATTTGTAGTAAGACATGTGTGTGTGCGCGCGCGTGTGTGTGTGTGTGTGTGTGTGTGTGTGTGTGTGTAAGCAATATTGGAAACGGATAATTTAACACAGGTGTTCCGGAAAATTGGCAAGAAAGCGGAAACTTGAAAATTACTCGTTACTTGTATTTCAACAATTCAGCGATGTCGGATAAAGAGTATTCTCCTCGGTCGCGAGTATCCAGCGACCCTTGTCGCCGCGGTAGATAGGTGCCAGGGCAACAAGAAGGGAGTACGATGGTCGCGACGTTCAAGAATCGTCTCGAGAGAGTGCAACTAATTCCGGCCACCGCAGTCTAGACTGCGGAACATTTCGAGAGCCGAACTGGCTAAGCTTAGATCTCTTGCCTAGGCGTCCGGCGTTTATTTCCGTCTATAATCCGACAGGTGGTCCTTAGACACGTATATATTCCTATCTCACATCTCACGTTACCCCATCGTGATAAATATCAAACCACATCCGTGACCACACTCCTTCCTCCTTTCCTGCCATCCCCGCGCGTCTTGATCGCCGATTTTATGAAATACGGAAGGCGAAAGCGATAAGAAAATAGAAACGATCTAAAAAAGATATTCTTGTCGTCGCAGAAACAATATGTTCACTTGTCGATGAATCATGATCCGTTTCACCGATCTGCAATTTCCATCGTGTATTAACGGCTTTCTCTTGTTTATTCACAGACTCGCCAAGATGATGGGTAGCATGCCGAGCGGGCGGATGAGGAGGATCCTCCTCTTCCTCGTCCTGATGACCGGAGTCCTGTTGATTGCCATGTACGCGCACGCTCCTCCGCTCGCATCGCTCCAACCGATCGCATCACGTCGGTAAGTATCTAACACGCTTCACACATGAGATATTTGTTCCTTTTACTAGCATATTATAGTTTTATTACAGTCAAAAATATCAATACAAAACTATCACAATAGCTTTTACAAGTGATTAAAATTTACGGATGACGGATCGCGTGAATTTCACGTACTCAATTCCGAAAATACATACATCTACGTATCGATCTGTATTTGTGTCAAATTGTGTTTGATTAACTTATTGACGATTATTCTTAAATTGCAGGACATTTCAAAGTCCATGGTCCTGGGCGTGCGTGGCGAATCGATGCGAGAAGCGAGCAGTGAGATCCTCAAGAACATCTCTGGCCACCTGCACTGCGCATTGCGGAGGTAACACTCGCCTATTGTGGCCTAGACCAACTAAAAACGTCGTATTGGGCGACGAAAGTGTCATCCTGCATCTTCAACAAATCGAGTTCGTCTTTGATACGAACGATAAAGAGACGAAGGATCTGTTGGAACACGCGCAGGATGTCTTCATCGGTGAGTATTAAAGATGGGCTGAAAGGAAGTTTCCACGTCAATTTACTACGTATTACAATTGCGTTTTACATTTTACACACAGTAGATTTTACTCCAAAAGGAATAATAATAAAAAAACACGTAAGCATAGATATAATAATAAAAAACACGTAAGTAAAGATATTTTTTTCTATATCATAGATTATTCTCAAGTGATAATAATACCGATCAACGTCTCACATGTATAATTCACAGTAGCCAACAGATTTTTATTTAAATTTTTTAAAATATCTACATATTCATATTGATACATGCTCGTTCCGAAACACTCCTTTCGTTGCAGGGAACATTAGAAGTCTGGTGAAGGTGCTTAACGCTAAAAGCCGATCCGGTGTCGACTCTTTCATCATATACCTGAGCGCTGAGGACGCGAGAGGCGCTACTTTGACTCTGGATACCGACGAGTCCTACAAATTGGAACTCATGCCCAAGGGAAAGATCCTCATGGCCAAGATCTGGGGAAAAAGCTACTTTGGCTTGCGTCACGGACTCGAAACTCTCAGTCAGCTGATCTGGTGGGACGAGGCCGCCGCCAAGCAAGGTGCTCTTCGTGTTCTTACACGAGCCTCTATCGAGGATAAACCCGCGTTTCCTTATCGTGGTCTTCTCGTCGACACCGGTAGACAGTTCTTTCCGGTCGAAGAACTGAAGAGAGTGATCGACGGCATGGCGGCTACAAAACTCAATACCTTACATTGGCACCTCACCGACTCGCAGAGCTTTCCGTTTGATTCGGCACAATACCCGGAAATGGCAAGGTGGGGTGCTTACAGCGAGGACAGAATTTACACGCCCGACGACGTGAAGGACCTCACGGATTATGCGAGGATACGCGGCGTACGAATCATCGTTGAGATTGATTCTCCGGCCCACGCCGGTGCCGGATGGCAATGGGGTAAATTCGATAGAATATAAATTCCTCTAATTCTTGTCTAAATATAGGACAGGTTTTACCACTGTAAGTCATTCGAGTCAATAGCGAAGGGTTGAAATTATGTTAAAATTGCCTTGTTTATATAATCTCCAATTTTATTATATTAATCTTTGTTGACTCTGTGAAATTAACATACTTAAATGACGTAAAATTTTAGGTATGGAGCATGGTTTTGGCGAGCTGGCGTTATGTGTGGACCAGCAGCCGTGGGCATCATACTGTGGTGAGCCAAACTGCGGCCAATTGAATCCCATAAATGAACACTCGTATCGAATACTCGAGGGTCTCTATCGAGAGTTGTTAGACTTGACTGAAGTGCGCGACGTAGTGCACCTCGGTGGCGATGAAGTAAATCTTGATTGCTGGGCGCAGTATGGCAATATCACCTTAGCCATGCAAGCACAGAACATGACAGACTATCACGAACTGTGGGCCGAGTTTGAGAAGAAAATGTTGCAACGTGTTATTAAAGCAAATCATGATCGAGTGCCGAAAGTGGTGATTCTGTGGAGCTCACCGTTGACGAAACGGCCGTACATCACCACATACTTCGACCCGAAGATCCATGTGATTCAATCGTGGGGTGCCAGCAATTGGCCTGAAACGTCAGACCTGTTGGAGGACGGGTTTCGCGTGATACTGTCACATGTGGATGCGTGGTATTTAGACTGCGGCTTTGGCAGGTGGCGAGAGAGTGGCGAGGCCGCGTGCGGTGAATATCGCACTTGGCAGACCGTTTATAATCACCGTCCGTGGAGGGAGTACCCCCAGGAACAAGTGTCCTTGGTTCTCGGCGGCGAAGCGGCTATCTGGAACGAACAAACTGGACAGTCGTCTTTGGGACCTCGACTATGGCCTAGAGCATCAGCGTTCGCCGAACGACTGTGGTATAGTATACAATAAATAATATAATTGATCACATTACGGAACACACACACACATATATGTATGTGTGTGTATATATTTTTCTTTGATTAATTTGTAAAAGATATTCTCTTAGTGAAAATGTCAATAAAAATATATAATTTGTAATTAACAATTTTCTACCAACAAATTAACCTTGTTAAAATTGAGAAAGTAAAGCTTATTCGTGAGATTAACCAGAGAATATAATTTCGTTGAGAGTAAGATCTCGCCAGAAGTCTCTTATTTTCGTGGAGAAAAATCTCTAAATGGTTAACGAATCCAAGTGTAATGAAAAACTATATATAGTAATATAATAGGTAATATAACGAAATATAACGAGGTAATTTTCCAATATTCACATCTTATTTTTCAGGAGCGACCTACCGATGACGAGTTACTCCACGGACGAGAACGTTTACACCAGACTAGCTGCGCACATCGAAGTTCTAACTAGCAGAGGCATCAAGACAGAATCCATGTGGCCACACTGGTGTTCCCAGAACCCCGGAAAGTGTCTCTGACCGAGCGTTAGAAATGCGCGAACTATCGACCAACTGTTCTACGAGTATTGTACTTATACATTGTATTGTACAGCGCCGATAATCGTGTAAAGACTAGACTAATGCTGTCAATGTAAGCCGAGAGTGGTTTCTATACCAGGAACCTAATATCGTGAATAATGTCCATCTGCTATTGATTTTTGTAACAGCTAATTTTGTGTCAACTTATTTTATCTTTTATTTTTTGCAATATATACATATCGCAGATACTCAAGTAGCCGAGAGATATTCGAAAGACTCAGGTAACCGGGTACTCGAACATTGATAGCATTGGACTGGACATCACGAGGAGCGGTAGAGTTTATCGCGAGCTCGCTCCTCGCTTTCGGTTTATTAACACATTGCGATCCGCGGCCTGTACTAAGTCATCACGTATAATTGTACGAATAAGTCGTACCTATAATACGTGCCATGCTTCTCTCGACGCATATAATTGTCAATAAGAAAATAATTGTTAAAGTTATTAAGGTATACATCAGATTATATAATATTATAATATGTTATAAATAATACTATAATATTATAAATACTTGTAATATGATAATACAAGTATATCTCTCAGTTACAATAGATCCAATGTTTATATTTTAACAAATTCATTGTAACGATATCAATCGTAAAGATGGATTGATTGCGTCGAGTCTGAGTTATCAGCGGATTGTATCGTACTGTATAACCGTATCGATAAGCCTGATGGCTAAATGCTGTCGATGGACCGCAATGTGTTAATATCTTGTAACAGAGACATTTAACCGTAGATATTTATACAGCTTATAGCTATTAAAGCGATAGAAACGACAAGATGATATTGTTTCATGATATATCTGGCACGCACCGACGAATTTTGATCTATCAATGTGCACGGTGTAACGTATAAGCGTTTACACTATATCATCTTTTTTTACTATATCATCGTACTTAAATGTCTCTGTTGTAGGATATTAATGATTTAAGCTATACTGTTAAGATACATAACGTATATTTTTCGGTGAGCGGCTTCGGTTTTGCATGTCTGCAGATATTAGTAATATAGCAGTAAATATCCGATCATTGTGAGAAAAAAATTATTTGGATGTTCGAGTTACCGTGATTAGTGTATATAGTATCTTGGGAAAACAAAAGGCAAAATCAACTGATGCAAAATCAGTCGCTACGAAAATTAATTACAGATAAAACACAGTCGTTATACGCGAATTTATTATCCGCAATTTTTTATTCCGGATATCTGACTACAGACACGCGAAATAATTAGTTTCGGCGACAGTCGTGGCAATCGTATTGACGATCAATGAATACTGGAATTGATCTAATATTTAAAAAAAAATATATTGAAGAAAATAAATTATAAAAGTAATATATATATATAAAATAATATAAAAAATATATAAATATGATAAAATATATGTAAATAAGATGCGACTTTCGACGATCATACACGAAAGCCGAACCGATTGCAGAAAGATATATGTTATGACGTGTCTCTGTTATGACGTGCTGCTACACGGATTTAACATAAAGTGAATGTTGAATACATGATGTTGTTCGCTTAACTTTCCCACAAAAGCCGTCTTCGTTTCTTCACCCATTCAAGCAAAATGCATTTTAAAAATATACAAACAATATGAATGCTTTACTCTCAAGGATTGCGATTCTATTGTATTTCAATCGCCGTCAAATTCTAGATATAGAGAGCATTTCTTACATGAAAAATTTATTGCCATTAATGAAATTCAACAATAGCATCGACGACAGGCGTCACTTATGGAAGTTATCGCGGTCTTACAGAAGCGAACACCACCATCAACGAGGTTGACGACAGGATGTAGGTTCTTCAGTGAGCTGATGCTGATAGCTCTACTGCCTGACGAACGACAAGTGATAGAACGTCGTTTATTGTCCAAGAACAGACTCATCTTAATATTGGATTGGATATTACAAATATTAACAAAGTTCAATGTCTTTTTACTACGATAGAAAACATAGGTTTACTAATTACATAGAAAAATGAATCGTCTAAATCGTAGTTTTACAAAGAATCATATATTTACAAAAACATGCAAGAGATTAACATTCAGAACTTTTTCTTGCCATACTTCAACTTATTTTTGAATTTCTTTGCGTTTATACCGTACGTTTTTAGTCGTTCTACGTTCAAGGACATCATCGAGTTGATGTTATCATTATTTGATTTGTTTTTGTTTCTTTTTACTTTATTTAATTGTAGCTTACTCTTTTCCTTTGTTTTATTCTTTCTTTTCTGAATGACTACTGTTTTACCCACGGGTGCCGTTTCCTCGTTATTCTTTTCTATCTTGTTATCCACTTTTATTTGCAAGCTTTCCTTCTTTATATTATCCGTCTTTATCTTTTTCAGCTTCGAGCTATTACTATCAACTCTTGATTTATTTTTTCGTTTCTTCTCGTTACTCTTATTTACTGTATTTTTTTCTTGCGTAATTTTATCTTGTTCTGCATCATTCTTGATATTATGAGAATTATTTTGTGTGTTATCTTTGGTGATTTCTGCAACCCTTTTTTCAGAAATGGTGTTAATGTTAATAGAGTCCACATTAAAATTATTTTTAATTTTCTTCTTTCGCCTACGCTTCTTACTGCTAGTATCATCGTTTGCCGTTTGCTCATCCGCACTCGCATTTCCATTTTCTTGTTTGTCTGATTCACTACACAAATAAGAATACAATTAGTAGATTGATTATCCAACAAGTTAATTCTTTGTAATTATACTAAGTTGCACTGGTTATATTTCAAAATACCATAAGTATATATGCAGCTATAAAGAATAAACTCAATATATTTTTTAAAAAGAGAATCTTTCAATTTTAATATCTATTAAATACTTACGTATACAAGCTCTTGAGAATTTTCCGCTTGAACATTTCATTTTTTGCCTTTTGTTTGTACGATTGAATCTCTTGCATTTCTACGTGCTCGGATTTATGTTGAAGAGCTCGTTTTAAAGAACACCATTTGTTTAACTCTTTATCATCGGCCATTAAAATCTTAAAATATAAATGTATTAAATTATATGAATTACTTTTAGTTGCTTTAAATCTATAACTTGATATAATAACGATAAATTGTAAAAATTATCTTTACCTCTTCAACACTTAGCCCGTAGTCGTTTGGTACTACTTTTCTATATTTAAATCTGCAAGGCAAATCCCCGATCATATCTTCATAGTCCAATGAGTAATATTGATCAAAATATTCTTCATATAAAGGGAACTGTTTCGGATCAAATTTTGGTTTCTTCTTTGCCATAAGCATAGCAAACTTAGAGCGTCTTTTTTTCTTTCTCTTTCTGGTACTCTCTACGAGTTCCGATTGCAAATCTTGAGATCCATCATAATCAGCATCCATCTTTAATTAAGAAACATTAGTTTTATACAAAATATATCAAAATCGTTGAATTAATTCAGCTCAAAAACAAATTCCTTCATATAAAAAACCCAACTATTAAGAAAATAACGCGGCAAAAGCAAAAAATTACAGCGATTAAAATAATTAATATTAGAAGAAAGTTATGTATACATATATAATATATATAATATATATATATATAATATATACATATATAATATATATAATATATAATATATATATATATATAATATATACATATATACATATATTTTATATATACATATATAAAATATAGTATACGTTAAAATCTGGATCTTCACAATGAGTTTCTTCATGTGGCGTATCAATTTCATTTGCATTCGGGTCATAGTTATCCCACGTATTTTCAATATCTAATTCTTCATCAATATCTGGAAATTCCGGCTTCATGTCTTCAGTGCCAGCATAATATTCCTCGTTAAAAAGTTCTTTCATTTTTTTATCATATTCATTCGGGTCGAAATCTGTATCAAAATCGACACTATCGAAACGCATATCATCATTTCCTGTAATTAATATAAATATAATATTAGACAAACTGTTGTATAGTTTGACATGAATTCCAAAGTATTCAGAAGTCGAAGAATCATTACCTGTGATTTCTTTCAACTTTTCTATTTTTTCTTCTATCTCTTTTCTCTTCAGTGCCTTTAATTGCTTCAATTCTTCCCTTTTTCGCTGTTTTTCTTCCTCCTTTCTTTCTCTGATTTCCGCTCTTTTTTGCGCTCTACGTGTATCTTTCCTCCGCATTGAGTTTTCCATAGTTCGCGGATATCTTAGTATAACATAAATTTGATAAATTAAAAAAGAAGTTACAACATGTATGTTTAACAGTTAATCGTTGAATAATGCAAGCTATACCTTTTGATAAATTCCTGATCAGGCTCTTCAAATCTAAAATTGTACTTGTGTTCAAATTCCTCTTGCTTCTCGATATTCTTTTCATCTTCCGATAAATTATTATCGCTATCGTGAACAATTTGATCATAATCTAGCTCTACATCGGAAAACTCTTTATCTATGTATTTATTATTTAGGATATAATCTCTTAAGAATTTCTCCTTTGTATCTAAATTAGGATCTGTCCAAAAATCACGTAATGGTTGAAGTTCCTCTTGTTCTTGAGTATCTATTTCCAACTTTTGACCCTTTAACCATTTCTTATATAAATTCTCCTCCTAAATAAAGCAATGATAGTTATAACATACAATATTGAAATATAAATTGTTTCAGTAAATAATAACATAATAATTATTAAATGTTATTAATGATACCTCCTGCTTATCATCTTCTGTCTTTTGTTTTATTTTCAGAAAGTCAGCATCCTCATCTGTATCTTCAGATTCTTCTTTTAAAGCATGCTTGAAACTATCTTTCATTTCTTGTTGTTCTTTTGTGTAAGTATGTACTTTAGTATTCTCCTCTGTATTATCTTCACCTTCACTGCCACTAAACATTCCATTTCTTTCCATTACAATTTTACGTTCATAGTCTCGTAAAAAGATAGCCTTTTCTTTTAACTTTTTTTCTTTCCTGTTTTCTGTTTCAACATGTTCTCTTGTTCCAGATGTGTCGATATTATTAAAGAACTTAACATCTTTATCATATATGCATGGATCCTTTTTCTTCAAGCATGCTAAAGTTTTATAAAATTCTCTATCAAATTGTAAATTTTCAATCTATAAGAAGGATTAATTAGAATTGGGAATTAATATTGTAACATCTAACAAAAATGATTTAAAAAGCTAATAAAATAAAAATACAAGATGCTTTAATCCAATATGTATCATAAAACAAAATAAAATATAAAACATACATTTCCATCATCTTCATCATCAGATGAGCTGCTGTCGTCCATGATAACTTCTTCATATTTTGTTTTTACTATACATATAAAACATATATATACACATACTACATATAATACACATATAAAAATAAAAAAAATTATTTAACTTTACATTATTTTAGATACAGATTTATAAATAACTGAATAAAGATAAGTTATAACAATGAGATCCTTTCTCCTATTGAACAGAACAGGTTATATATTTACTTACATTTATTCAACTCTTCCTTCTGACGCCAATTATCATAATCCTTAGCGTAATCCGAATTAATTTTAATATCTTCGTCAGAATCTGAATTATCGCTATTGAATAATGATGACATGTTAATAGAATGTAAAAGTAGATTAAAAAGCAGTTAAAATCACGAGCACTTTTTCTTGTTTTCTTTCTTTCAACACGTGGCTCCAGATACCTTATACGTCTAGGCCCGATCTACAATAGATGGAGTAAGGAGTAGGAGTAGGAGTAAGACGAAATGAAGCGTCGTCTACAATATGCGGAGTAAGCTTGGAGTAAGAAGTAAGCCGTAAGAATTAACCAATCATAGACGATTATTTTTATAATAATCGACTACGATTGGCCAATTCTTACGGCTTACTTCTTACTCCAAGCTTACTCCGCATATTGTAGACGACGCTTAATACGGCAATGCCTCAACGCCACTCTACGATAATTAGGTTATTTTTTAAAATGTTCTTTTTTGAAGAAAATTTTACTTAATACCTATAATTCACGTTACATAGGGTTTGTTTTCTGTTCCTGCACTGCTGAACTGGTGCAATAAGTTAGAGTGAGACAAGTATATTTTTTCTCACTCTAACTTATTGCACCAGTTCAGCAGTTAGGTACGAAAAACAAACCTATATTGTAGGTTGCGTTCGCTTTGGGCGCTTACGCGCTGTAAGCGTCATTCTATCTTCTTCCCGCATGTAATGAGCGATAAAGATAGAATGACGCTTACAGCGCGTAAACGCCCAAAGCGAACGCAGCCACTTTTGATTCAATGCCCGTTGCATACGCGATCATGCAATGAGCGAAATCCAATGAGCGCGTTCAACGGAAAAAGCGCTCAATGAGCAATCAGTGATTATTGGTTCTTATTATTAGATCCCTAAATCTAGACCAATTATATTGACGAATTGTTCAACTGTGTGCA